CCCCCCCCCCCCCCCCCCCGGCTTCCTCATCTGCACTCCCCCCGCAATCCTGACTTTGCACAGCAGCAGAGTGAGCTTTTAAAAATGTCACTCGGATCAAATCACTCCTCCACATAAGGCTCTTCAATAACTTCACGTCGATCTTTGAAAATAATCCAAACTCCATTTTGTGACCTACAAAATCCATGTAATCCAGCCTCTCCTCGCCCCTCCAGCCTCCTTTTATCCCAGGCTCCTGCTCGCTCATGAGGGAGTAGCCACACTGGCCTTCTGACTGTTCTGATGTGCAAACCCTTTCTCACCCCTGGGCCTTTGCACTTGCTGTCCCCTCTGCCTGGAATGCTCCCCCCCACCCCCAGCTCTTCATGTGGTTTGGTCCTTGTCAGCCTTTGGCTGACAGCTCAGATGTTCTCAGGGGGCTTTCACTGATCACCTTCAACATGCCCCTGTCTCCCTCAATCTTCCTCCTCCTGTTTATTTCCTAGCACTTCCCCCTGTTTGAAGTCAGTTTGCTTGTTTCTGGGCTTTCTTCCTTTATTGAATGTAAGTTCCGTGAGAGTAGGGACCATGTCTGTCTCTGGCTTGCTTGTCACAATATTCCCACTGTCTGGCACTTCATAGGTCCTCAATTAATAGTTGGTGAGTGAATAAATGATGTTAGCCAGAGGAAGGGGTGGGGCAGGGAACAGTACCCTAGGCTAGGGAACAGCACATGGGGCATGGTTTAGTGTTGGGGCCCCATGGCAACCGTGGCTGGGCAGTGGTTGGGTTGGAGACAGAAAGCACGTTCCATCTGACTCGAGTCCTGTGTTGCAGGCGGCTGGTGGAGCGGCTGGAGACCATGAGGCGGAACGTGATGGGGAACGGCCTCTCCCAGTGTCTGCTCTGCGGGGAGGTGCTGGGCTTCCTGGGAAGCTCGTCGGTCTTCTGCAAGGACTGTCGGAAGGTAAGGCCCTGTTCTGGCCCTGCCACTCTGGCTACCCAGCCTGGACCAGCTCTGCTGCTGCTCTGTGGCTTTGCATCCTGCCTCCCAGGAGTGTGTGTTGTATGTGTGTGTTTGTGCGTGTATGTGGGCGCACATGGTATCCTGTGCTTCTTGGCAAGAAGGATGGGGGCCTGAAGGTCAAATGGCCTGGTTTCTATGGCTGCCTCTGGGTCTCATAGGCCTGGATGTGAATTCAGCTCTCCCCCTAGCCGTGTGACCTCAGGAAACTTGCTAACGTGTCATGCCTCATTTGTAAAATAAGGATGATGATCATATGTATCTTAGAGAGTTGTGAGGATTAACTATTCTATGCAAAGCTCTTAAAACCTCGTCTGGCACATTAAATACTCAATAAATGTTGTTAGTTGGTATTAAGTAAATACAGTTCTCCTCAGGGCCAAACAGTGTGCTAGGATTGTACTTTCTATTCTGTTGGCCTGCCTCTTGGGCCTTGGCCTCTCAAATGACGGTGATTTGGCAGCAAGGTCAAATGGATTTTCTCCTTTTCTTATACTGGAGAAATTGTTCTAAATTGTGCCACATATTAAATTGTTTCATATTGAGTCCAATGCTTTTCTAAATAACTTTTTGTTTTCCCTAGAGTTTCTAATTGCCTTTCTTTTTCTTGTTGACCAAAGAAAAACATGCCTTCCAATCCTCAAGATTATTTAACATCTCAAAAAAAAAATTATTTAGCATCTCAACTTTGCTCTCCATTGCATGGAGCCTGCATTTTTTTTCCCTGCCAGAAACCCTTCTAGATTCTTATTTCTGCTCCAGCTTAGACTGGTTGCTGCACAGCTGTCATCATGGGACTTCCTTTTTCTGCCCTCCTAGTTTAGAGACACTGTTCCCAAGAGACCAAGTCTTTTTTTGTTTTTCACTCTAGTTTTACTGGAACCCATCCTCCAGTAACTTCCATGTGCCAGTCACTCTTTGAAGCCTGGAGTTATTGTGAACAAGACAGAGAAGGAACCTTCTCTCTTGAGATTACATTGAGTGAGGGAACCGAAAACAAGCAATGATCAAATAAATAAGATTTCAGGAAGTAGTAAATTCTGAGAAGAAATCACAGGGGATAGAAGACTGGGGGTGGGGCATTAAGAGTTGAGAGGACTGTAAAATCCAGGGAAGTCAAAGAAGTTGGGGTGGACCTGGCCACACGGAGGCCACTGGCAGTCTTGACAAAGGCATTTTCATGGCATTCAAAAGCTGGGTGAGAGAACCAAGGCGCAGAAAGGTGAATCTGCCTAACTAAATGGAAAGCCATGACGTCAGATAAGCCAGGATTTCCATTTTCCTCCCCTGCTCTCTGACCTGTGAGGAACCGGGCTGAGGAATGTAGATTAACTGGTGAAGGGCCCAAGAACAGTGGAGGTGGGCGGGCGCCTGGGTATCAGGGAGGGTGGGCATCGTGTGTCAGCTCCTCCTCAAGCCCTCCATGGGCCGTGGACTAGATACCAGCATGGGTAGTGGGCCCGGGGACTCGGGAATGTCTTGCTCCCCATACCTGGGCAGGTGGGGTTATATTGTGTGGCTCCTGCCTTGGAGCATGGGCCCAGCAGCCTGTTCCCTCTGTCTGCCCCTCCACCCCACAACTGCTGTAAATGTCCAGGTCTGCAGGGCCACGAAGATGGGGCAGAACCACATTTCCTTTCATTGGAAATGTCTAGGGCCTCGTCACAGAGGCAGACTGCTGCCTCTGGCGGCTGAAGGGTTAATGCCAGCCGCTCCTTGGAGAGCCGTTTCCTAGGCAACAGTGGCCCTCTCAGGGGAGGACCTCAGCTGGGGGTGGGGGTGGGGGAAAGGCTCTTCCAGGCAGTCTTGCCACCCTCCCCCGCTCCCGCCCCCACCCCGGTACCCTGGAGCGCTGGGCTGGTCCGCAGGACGTTAGAAATTGTTCTTATTTTGCAGCAGACTGAGGACTAGGTCCTGGCTTGGGTGGTGAGGTGAGGAGCCCTTTGAGCTTCTGAGGGGACTTGTTCCTGGGTAAAAGTGGGAGGAGAGGGTGCTGGCTGGGGCCACAGCCGAATGATGGGCATTTGGGGGTTTCCTTCATCCATCCTTGAGAAGATTGTGTCATTCATTCATTCATTCACTCTGTGAATAGTAGAGGGCCCACTGTGTGCAGGCCCTGTTCGAGGTGCTGGGGATACTGTGAACAAGATAAAGTCCTTGCTCTCACGGAGATTATTTTCCAGGGTTGGGAGAAGAGAGACAACAAACAAACAAATACAAAATAATGTCTAGTAAACTGAGGGCTCTGTAGTGAATTAAAACAGGGCAGTGGGATAGAGAATGACTGGGAGGGCCCCTCTGAGCTCAGACCCAGACACAAGCAGGAACCAGCCCTGGAAAGATCCAGGTGGAAAAGTGTTCCAGGCAGAGGGAATAGCAAGCACGAAGGCCCTGAGGCACAAACCAGCTGGGCACGTTCAAGGAACTAAGAAAGGCATCTGGGGAAGAGGGAGCGAGAGGTGGGCACAGCTGGTCACATAGAGCTTCACGGGTCAAGGTCAGGAGTGGAGATTTGATTCTGGTTTAATGGGACGCCAGTGGAGCGTTTTAAGCAGGAGTGTGACGTGATCTGATTTGTGTTTTTCAGAGATGAGCTTAGCTGCCGTCTGGGGAGTGGCTTGCAGGGGGACATGGAGTGAAAGGAGGAGACAAGTGAGGAGGCCATGGCTGTCACTGGGAGACGATGGGGTTGGGGACAAGGCAACATAGGGATGGGGCTATACGCTAAGAGAATCAGTCTCTTCAGTGTGTTCTCAGCAGACTGGAAAGGACAAGAGATGGTGCTAAAGGGTCCTAGGAAGGAAAGGGGGTCCTGGACTGCAAATGGGCCAGGGCAAGAGGTCACCTGGTCCATCCTGCGTGGCAAGGGGGTGGCGGTCCACCTGGACTTTCCACTAAGTGCTGTTCCCATGCGCATGGCCTTGGATCACAGTGTCAGCCCAGCCACAGCGTGGTGACCTTGTGCAAGTCACTTAACCTCTCTGGGCCTCCGTGTCTTCATCTGGAAATGGGATAGTAAAGCTTATGCCATCATTGGGAGTGCGAGGAGTAAATGAGCTGAGACGGGGGAGCTGTTAGCAGAGTGTCAGGTCCATTGCAAACACTCAGTAAAGGGTACCTGTTGTTGTTAGTATCATGGCTAGTATTATTAATCCACTTCAAGGTCCTAGCTGTTCAGACTTCCCATGTGTTATCAGGAATGGCCTGACCTCCCACATATCTCAGAAGAGGTTTAGTGACATCCGTGTGTTGGTCAGCTGAGACTGCCATAACAAAATACCGCAGCCTGGACGGCTCCAGCAACAGAAGTGGATCTCTCATTGTCCTGCTGGCTGGGAAGTTCAAGGTCAAGGTGCTGGCCAGTTCGCTGTCTGGTGAGAGCACTCCTCCTGGCTCACAGACGGCCGCCTCCTCGCTGTGTCCACACTTGGTGGAGAGAGCCCTGGTGTCTCCTCCACTTCCAATAAGGACGCCAGTCCTATCGGATCAGGGCCCCACCCTTATGACCTCATTCAACCTAATTACTCACTAAACACCCTGGCCCCAAGTACTCACACCGGGGAACAGGGCTTCAACATAAGAATTTTGATGGGACAAAGTTCAGCTCATAGCACCCCGCATTTTCCTTATTAGAGTTCATGTCTTCTTGAACTTAAAATCAGAGTTCCCAGAGTTGGCCGCATGTTTCATAATTTATATAAAAGCCTCCAGAAGCCCGTGTAGCCCTCCAGCATTGCGTGGCTTGAGCCAGTGGGAACCCCTCAGTTTTTGTGCAACTTCCTCATATAAACCTAACACTCAATCACTTATTCAGTGCACTGTGGGCTAATTTTGGAGTAGGGGGATCCAGAAGGAGAGGTGTCCAGAATGGTCACTTCCCTCAGGTCCTGATGGGCCAGACAGTATTCTCTAGAATGGTGCTGACTATGGCTGGGACAAGGGTTTCCAAGACTGAGAGCAATCGGGAGGGTTGTCTGGAGGAGCTGGCTCTTAAGGCTGGGCAGGCTTCTGAGAGGCTGAGAGCAGAGCGAAGGGCATTCCAGGAGGGGGAGAGCAGCACAGCAGAGATGGAGACAGGCTGGGCCAGCACTTGACTGTGAGGATGCAGGCCCTGAGGGCAGGGAGAATGTGCTGAAAGAAGAAAGGACACAGGAGAGGATGTCAGATTTGACTTGGAATCAAGGGAACCTTAGAGGAGGGACAGGGGAGATGGGGATGGGAAGATGTGGGGTAGAGCTGAGATCTTTCGGAAGGAAATGGGGCTTGTTAGAAGGAGTTCTCTGAGGGCCAAGCTGCATTTGAGCAGAGCAGGCAGGTCTATAGGGCCCCGAGTCCCCTGGGAGATGGTCACAGAGGTTCAAATGTCCTGGGGCCACTGTGCCAGGTGGTGGTCACTTAGGAGCTGAGTCCCTGGAGAATCAGGAGGGAGGCCCAGTCTTAGCCTCAGAGCCCCCTGCAAAGCTTTAGCCCTTGCAAGGGCTCTCTGGTGTCCAGGAGGGGAGGACGATGTCATCCATTCACTCATCCAACAAATATTTTTTGTATGCCTATTGGTGCAGGCACAGTGTAAAGACACACAGATCCCTTTGGGGAGCGGGGTTAAATGGTTATGGATAATTAATGACAGTCATGATTGGGGTTATGGAGGCATCCCTGAGGGTCTGAGAGAGCTCTAATGGTACTGGCCTAATTGGGGGCATCAGGAGCCCTCTGGGCTCACCAGTTTCTGGGCGCCTCCTGTTTATTCCCATCTTTACTCTCTACCTTCTCACCTTTTGCAATGGCCTGCAGCCCTGGGTCCCATGAGGTGTGTGGGCGTGGGCAGGCTGCAGAGAGGGGGTGCTGGGGGATCTCTGACATGGGAAGTGTCCAGATCCAGGCCTGGAGGGCAGGTCCTCAGGTGCTCCTGGACACACGGAGCCGCCCCAGCAAGAGCCCTGGCA